CAATCCACAAGGATGATATTGTACTTCAGTGTGTTGCCATGACGCTGCGATGACATGGGTACAGGCCGTCTCGGCCCATTACTGCACTCCCATGTGGGGGTCACGTGGCAGACTAGCTAGGACACGAAGCTACAGTATGATCGCACCCAAGCTACAAAATCCCGGGCGACCTGATCTCATCTCCACTCCTAGACGATCTATGACCTCGGCTACGCAAGCGTCTACACAACATAAATGAAGCCACACAAACAGGGATACGTCCGGCCGTCTCCAGGAATGGACGCGATCTGCCGATATTCCTGGGGTACTCGCCGAGCCTTTAAATCATCCCACAAAACAATCCTCCATCCGGAAGAGAACAAACGCCCCGAGCGCGAGTCGCACCGCAAGCCGGAAATGAAGCAGCAGGGAAAGCGAAAACCTTTAGGGTCAATAGATTTAATTCTTCTTCTGCTAAAAAAATAGCAAATACATTTTGGCACAGATCAGCCTCCCTTAGAGCACGAGCTAAGAAATTTCCCCGCCAAGCCCTCCCGGGTTTGAAGGAGGAGGTCTGGGGCGAGGCTCCGCAGAGCAGTCACAGGGCGGTCTCTCTGCTAATGCTCCTGGCTCTCCTGCGCCGTGCCGGTCACCAGCAGCAGGTTGCAGGCCATGAACTGCACGCTCAGCACGTTGCTGGTGTTGCCCGTGTACAAGCCCACCAGCTCGCTGGAGGAGCCATCGGCCGGCGCGCTGCAGTAGGCGTTGCGGATGTCCCAGACCCGGACCGAGTTGTCCATGGAGGAGGAGGCCACCAGGCTGCTGTCGGGGCTGAAGGACAGGCTGGTGATGGTGTCGGTGTGGCCCCGCAGGTCCTTGAAGAGGGTGCCCGACGCCAGGTCCCACAGCTTCAACCGCTGGTCCTCCCCGGCGGAGGCCAGGTACTTGCCGTTGGGAGAAAAGGCCAGCGCCAGCACGGGCCCGCGGTGGCCGGTGAAGAGGCGGACCGAGTTGCCCTGCTGCAAGCTCCACAGCCGCACAGTCTTGTCGGTGGAGCCGGTGGCCAGGTAGCTGGAGTTGGGGTGGAACTTGACGCAGTCCACGTCCGCCAGGTGGCCGGCGTACAGGCGCAGCGGGTAGGTGCGGCCGAACGTCCAGAGCCGCGCAGTCCGGTCGTGGGAGCTGCTGGCGAAGTACAGGCTGCAGGGGCTGATGTCCACGTCCCACACGGGGTAGGCGTGCCCCTGGTAGAGGGCGGTGTTGGTGAAGCTGCCCAGGTCCCAGTAGCGGATGGTGGTGTCTTCGGAGCAGGTGATGAGCCCGGAGCTGTCGGTCAGGAAGGCCGTGCGGTACACCGGGCCGCAGTGGCCCCGCAGGATCTTCATCTCGCTGCCCGCGCTGTCCTCGTCATCGGCCTGCAGGCACAACAGACACCTCAGTAGGCTCCTTCTCTCGCAGCGCGAAGATCTTATCAGCAGGGCCCAGGAGAGACGGGGCTGGAGCTGCAGATTTTCAAGAGCTTAAGAGGCTCAAGAGGCCTTGCTGAAGTCAGCTCTGCAGCTGCAGCCCTGTAAGCCCCGAATATTGAGTATGAATATTAACTGATTATTAAAGGAACATTTGAAAAGAGATTTTTTTGGGTGGAACGAGATCTCGAGTTACAAGACCTAGAACTATTACTATCAACGTCACTAAGGAGACCCAGTTCTTCAGAAGGACATCCACAAGTTGCTCAACGTGATGTCAGTAATAAGTGCAGTAATCCAGCAGATGCTGGAGAAGTACAAGGTCCTTTCATTTGCCTGTAAATAAATAAGTTTATAACACAGTTTATAACACAGCAAACATCTCTTTTCATATGTTCCCGAATTGATACTCATTCATAAGCTCTTGAAAACCTGCAGCTCCAGCTATGTCTCTCCCGGGCCTGACCTAGATTCCCGCTGTTCTCTGTTCTCTGTTCTCTCTGTGGAGGGTCAATAATATCCGTCTGCTGCCACGCCTGCGATATTGAGCCGGCCCGCGCCTCACCTCCTCGTCCAGGACGTCGCAGGCCAGGTGCACCCGGGACACGTCCACCACGTGGGGCTGGGCCCTCAGCCGGCGCGCCCGCAGGCTCCACAGCTTCACGCAGGACGAGTCGAAGCCGGCGGCCAGCAGCTTGCTGTCGCCGGAGATCTCGGCCGTGTTGAGGAGCTGCTCGGTGTGGTGGAAGGCGTAGAAGCAGACGGTGGTGAGCGAGGGGGGCCCCTCCTTCACGCGCTTGAGGCAGTCCTGCAGCGACTCCAGCGCCGCCTCGTTCTGGAGGATGGCGGCCCGCACGTCGGCCGGCTCCAGCCCCTCGCC